AAAAAAAAAAAAAAAAGAAGTGTGTGCTTGCTCCTCATACAAGCAGCACAACACAGAATGTGCAAACGGCACTTCCTGCTACAGAGAGGAAGCAAATCACTCGGAATGTGCCCGTCTTCTCTGTGCGAGCCAGTGACACACAGGATTCCACAGTGCAAAACACTGTATGCTGGCACCGTTTTCTTGCAGGAATACTGTGGAGTCAGTGGTTTACAAGCAAAGGAGGACAGGGAGCTTGCTGTCCCCAACCTACACCTGAACAGTACCCTCACCTACTGGGTAGCCAGCACCACAATGGTACACAACCACCTGGCTGCCTCTTAACCTGCTAGCACCCCACCTCAGATCACAGGGCTGCCCAGAGGAGACCAAAGACGATGCCTTGTCTGATAAATGCCGAAACCAAAGGGATGGTTTCCGCAGACTTCTCCGTGGGATCGTCTGCTGAGGTGGAACTGCTGACACACAGAAGCCCTGGCCTGCCTGGCGTCCGTGCCAGGCTGTGTAGCTGCAGTGGTCATTCAGCACGCACAGGCAAGGCCACCCGGTACCGTCCCCAGGGTCACCGACTGGCACAACTGAGCTGAAGGCCTCGGCCCTCCTGAGTTTGCCCTCGTCCACAGCTTGAGGGCACAGAGCCTCTAGCCGGTGCTGAACCCCTCTTCTCAGGCACCTTCCACAGAACTGCTTTCCTGAGGGCTTTTCCAGAGTAGCTCTGCACTTCCCAAGCTCACGCACACTAAGGAAACAGCCTTTGAAATGAATGAGAATGGTGACACACTGTGAGAATTGTAGCCAGTATCAGTGAATCATTTGTGCAGAAAATGTTCAGGGGGAACCTAACTTGTGCAAACTTTCACTTTAAGCCCAATAAAACACTATTTTTTAAAATAATACATATATATATTGTATATAATTAAAGGAAGGAGGAATATAACACACAGTCAATGTTTAGCACACACTTTGTTGTATGTGTTACAGTTAAGATGTGTGACGGCTAAATTCCCAACAGGGCAGAACCCTTAGGAGCCTCCACCATGAAGCCTGTGCATCTAGCGTTACTGTGCTAGAAGTCACTGAAGCACTAATTCTATGACGTCTGCTGAGCGCCTGTTAGGAGGTATGCATGCTATAGGCATTACTCTTCAT